AAAAGGGGGGCGCCCCGCCGCTCGGGAAATGTAACGGACACCGACGGTTAAAGGGGAATCGACGGCTCGGACTGCAATGCCTCACGTCGCTTTCCCTTTTGGTGGGTGGGTGTGGGGGGGGTACGGGGAAATTGATAAGACGATGTCAAGCAAACAGACAACTGCAAAATCACTAGTGACAAGATGGGAAGGAAGATAAAGGGAATCCATCTTGGAAGGAAATAAGAGAACAAGCATACCACGCATTGGTATTAGGGTTATTGGTAAAAATTTTAATTAACGTTTTGTGTCCATTGGGATATGGGTTAGTCATATAGAAAAACAGGAGTATCCAAATACCCAAGGTCAACAACCCCCCCGTTCCTGAGTTAAGTACTTCTCACCAAGGGATAGAATATCCGCTGTCAACTTCGCCTGACATTTCGCAACCACGGCGGTACTTTTGTAGCTTGAAGGAGTACTGCCGCAGCTAAGACGCCAGATTTGCTGCGCCTCTATGTCGTCCCTACCACATATCGGAGCCATCGCTTGCACGTGGATCTCCTCCCCGGCTTTAAGTGGCCTATCAGAGAGCAAGTAAATCCATTTTCCGTCGTGGATGGAATCAAAATCATACCCGAATTCGTGACGAAAAAAAGCTGACATCTTCGCCGAAGCTCCACTGCGCGAGGTGCGAGTGACGAGGTAGGAGTTTGTCTTTTCACCTCCATGGGGAAACGCGTGGATGATGGGGAGGATTCCAATCGACCGCACGGAGTCGATACACAGAGGTGTCGAGTGTGATAAGCAAATGCTTACTGCCCACTGCAACTCTTGCATGGGGATCTTATTGACCAACGGGCCTCCCCTGATATAATTTCGAATCATTTGCAGTAACACATCCGCCAGACAGGGCTCGACCGGGCTAAAGACAACATCATCCTCAAAATATGGTGCGTTTTGTAGCGTGCGCGTTTTTGAAAGCTGCTCCGCGAAGCAGCAGCGTGGATCGCTCAACGGGCTGTTTTTTGCCGTCACCAGATCTGAAACAAGCATCCCCAAGGAATTGAAAAAAAATTGACAAGTATCATTCTCAGAGGCCGATCCACCACTATTGAGGGTATGAAATTCCCTAATCCGTTGAGCATCATGCAGGTTATTTTGACTATCTGCCGTATCGTCATTGGCGTCTTTAAAACCAATAGTCAGGTGTTCTGGAATCGCCAAGAGTGGAGTCAGACGTGGTACGTCCTCCGAAACGAAAAAAACGTGATCTCGGAACTCCGAGCGGCTGCGTACCACCCTCACGCTGGGGTGAATAAAAAGGTGATGATGATGGCACCACATAAAAAGCTTGTAAAATTGATGCGAGTCCGAGAGATGGGAAAACTGCTCGGCGTATTGCAGATACAACCGCCGGCGATGCATCGCATGCAGCTTCAAGAAATTCATCCGACAAGGAGGGGGAGGGGAAAGATCTCCCTTGTCCTCCGCCGATCGGAGTACTTCCTCTTTTGAATTATTTTTGCGGTCTGTGGTCACCGTGCAGGTCGCAAAGGATTTTTCCACCTCGTCGGTGATGGCTTGACGTTGCCGCTGAAGCGCCTCAACGCAGTCAACTGCGTGCGCTGTTGCACTTTCAGGAAAGGGTGAAACCTGAGAAAGGAGAATGGCTGACTCCATTTACAAACGCTGAAGGACGTTTTTATGAAAGTGGATAATCAGAAACAAAATTCTAATTCTTTAAAGTTTTTGTTGCTGTACTGCGAAGACATTAAGGAAATAATACCATACATTTATGCATCTCATAATCTAAACCTTAGGGTTCATAGCATTTATAAAATCAAAAAATATATAACACATGGGAATGGTATAAAAACACAGAAAGGGATAACGCCCAAGAATACTTGGAAGACATATTTTATAGAAATCACATAATTTTTTATTCCACATACATGCTGAGAGTATGCCAGAAGAAATATCTCCGTCCACGAAAATCACCACTTCGCGATAATATTGAAACACAATAGTGGCGGTTGGCGTGACGTCACCTATCCATACACAAAAAACTAATTATAATAGGGACGCAAACACAGATCACCCGTTCCCCGTCAGATCGGAGCGAAAGATAAAGTTCAAAGGAAATCGTCAGCAAGCACACCAATCCTGGGGCTGCTTCCGACATTAGTAGTAGTGTTTTGTCCTTTTTCATCCTTTAGGGGTTTTATTGGGCTTAGCAGTGGAGAGGGAGTCTGAATTTATAAACATGTGTCCTTGTAGCATAACTAAGAAATCTAACACCACATTGGTAGTGCCCTTTTTCCGAATCAACGCATTGGAATGCACTGCGTAGGTGGTGTCGATAACTAAAGAACCAATAGTATCCACACCGCACCACATCAACAAACAGAAAGTAAAAACAGTCCACTTCAGAGAATTTGAATAGCATTGGGATGTCTAAAGGTATTTACTCTTCAATAGGTGCATCAGACAAAGGAGCATACCATATCACATCATGTGGACACAGACTTGACTTTTCACATTCCACTCGAAGCAGTGGGGAAAGCAAACAATTATATAATCTCCGTCCACGAAAATCACCACTTCGCGATAATATTGAAACACAATAGTGGCGGTTGGCGTGACGTCACCTATCCATACACAAAAAAACATACATGCATTCACTCATACACACGCATTACCGTATACTGCCGAACGTTTTTCGTGTGCTTTCAAATAGCGTACACTTTTATAACACATCTAGGACTTGAATGGAAGCTTTACGTATATTTTAATCGCATACGCAGCCAATTGAGGGTCCTTTTGGAACAATGAAGGGGAGAAATACTTCCAAACACATATCTATAGAAGAGACTTGCTTAGGTTTTACTCAATTAATGATATGTATACCCTTTTTCTTTTTTACACTTACACTTTTTTTTAAAGAAAAACAAGAACATATATAGGAAATGAAGACATGATGCAGTGATCAAACCCTAAAAATCAGTTTCAATAGACACCTGTGCCAATAGATAAAACTGTAATGGTTAAATTAGCTTCATACGCATCTCTTTTATTACTTCATGGAATCTACTATAATGTTAAAATGTTTACACTTAACAGAAGAACCATTAAAATCTAAAAAGAAACGTACTAATGTAAAATAATACTCAGTTTCGTTCCGTGTGTATAACTTGAACTAATCCAACAGAGGATATATATATATATATATATATATATATATATATATATA